CCCCAAAACCCCAAAACCCCAAAACCCCAAAACCCCAAAACCCCGAGGCTATTCTGAGTGGTTGAATCAGCCACTGAGAAAAATCGAGCAGGTTTATTGAATAAAATAGACACTGATTTAGAACTAATATTATTAAAGGAGATCAGAAACAGGATTAAAAATAGTTTAATTCTTCAGAATGAGGGTCCATAAACTCATTATTTAGCAAGGCTGAATGATGACTGATCTCCTCTTCATTAACACCGAAAAGTTTAGCATCGTAGTCGGCTTCAAAATCGTTCATCTCAAGGGCTTTTACATTGTCAAGATGATCCATTTTGTCTGAGAAATCCATCTCAAGGTCATCATTCTCTAAGTTATCATCTCCTAGACCAAGATGCTTAATATCATCGGCCTCATGATTCTTCTCTGAGTTTTTAATGAAATTTCCTGAGTTGCAACTTAAGTTGTCTTCTCCAAACCCGAGTCCTCTTTCTTTATATACTCCATTCTCTCCAGAATCACCATCAATAAGAAGCTTGACAGGATTAATTGGTTCATCATTTGAAGGAATCTTAATTGGCTCCTTGCAAGCTAAAGCGTTCTTCTCTATCTCATATTCCTTGAGACTCAAGTTCACATTATCAAGAGATCTCCCATCCTTGGTTGTTGTTGAATCATCAATTACAGTCTTCTTCCCAGTACTTGTAATCTGGAGAGTTGATGGTAACAAATTAGGTAGCTTCTTCATCTTCTCTGAGCTCGCTTTGGGCTCCTTCTTGTTTTCACTCTTAGGGGATGAGAATTCCTCATCTCCAGGTTTAAAACTAGTTTCCTTCTCCTCATCTTTTGGGATTTGAGAATTTGATTGCTCAATCTTAGTTTTATTGCTTACAAAAAGATCAGTTTTTCTAATCCTAGGATTAGGAGTCTTGACAAAATCTATTCACACAAGAAGTTCTTCATCAGAGCTTTCTTCTTCAGTTACCTTCAATTTTTTCACACACCTTGAGGCAACATCCAAGGATTTGTGCTTAATCAGCCCAATTCCAGGTTTAACATCGGTGAGGTTGATTTTTCTAAAGAACTTTTGAGCATGAGATCTTGACTGAGTACTTGAGCGGGTTCCGACATGCTGTTGGACTCTTTTCCAATCCCTACCGTACTTTTCTATGGCCTCAAGGAATCTGTTGTGTTCGTCTAAGATAAATCTATTAGAACTTGCGAATAATTATTTTATTTGATGAAGGTATTTAAGCTCACCATCAGTCCACCGCCCAGTTTTGTATTTTGTCTTGATAAGTTTGCTATTTACTACAACCCCACCACCCTCGCTGAAGTTTGCATTTAGTTCTTTGTCAGCTGCTTTGCTGAACCTTTTCATAGTCTTACTCTAAAATAATGGGTTAGGAAGCAAAATCAGGAGTATTTGTGGAATGAACAAAAGCTTTGAGAAAGCTTTTGATTCAGTTAACCTATAAAATCCACCAAATAGCATCATAATATAGCCGAAAGGGATCATTTCTGAAAGAATGCTAAATAATCATGAAATTCAAGTCTCAGTAGCAATGGGTTTTTAGATATAAAATTTGGGGTGGAGAGCTACTCTAAGCTATAAAGATGTCTCATAATCTTCTTCCCGCTAAATGTTTGATTTATTGGTCCTAATCAGGGACCTTATTTGTCCAGAGAAACAATTTTCTAAATTCTTCCTCTTAAAGCAAAATGTTGCTGGCCTTAGTCTAATTTCCAGATGTACAATAATTTAGCAAATTATATTTCTTGGCTGAGATTGTGTGGAAGAAGAGAAACTCAGTATGCTCTCATCTAAGAGGTCCCCAGTATTGAGTAAGCCATGACAAGGAAACGCCCTACTTGGTAGGTTTAAAATTAAAATTTTAGTACAAAAGTCGATAATATGCTGGACTATGAAACTAAATTTGTTCAATACATCTGGAATTTATCAAAAATGAAAAATCGTATTCTGAAAATTGGATGGAGTATTGGGAACAAGTACTTCCTCCTTCTCCTCATTTATGCCAGAAGGCGGGATTCCGATCAGAAAATGAAACAAAAAGAAACAGTTTTGAATAAAGCGGGAATTGAGAGTATTCAGATCCTGTATTACCAGGACTGACTTACCTTGACTGAAACATTAGGGCTAGTGTTCTCTTCACTCTTCATATTTTAATTATAGAATAATAAATTAGTATTATAAGCCATTGTGGGGTTTTGGGGTTTTGGGGTTTTGGGGTTTTGGGGTTTTGGGGTTTTGGGGTTTTGGGG